TGCTACCATACCCGGCTGATTTTTTTTTTTTTTTTATTGTAGAGATGAGGTCTCGCCAAGTTGCCCGGGCGGAAACCGTGGGCTCAGGCAATCCACTCACCTCAGCCTCCCAAAGTGCGGGATTACAAGGCTGAGCCACCGAGCCCGGCTGTTCTTATTACTTATTATAACTACTGATGACGTAGAAAGTCTAGGGGTCTCAGGGTTTCTTAACGTTGTGTGAAAATTCTGTAGGATTGTGCATTTTTCTAGAAAGAGAGCCAGTAGCTTTCATAAAAGTATTCCTGTAATCCCAGCACTTTGAGAGGCAGAGACAAGAGGATTGCCTGAGCCCAGGAGTTTAAGCCCAGCCTGGGCAACTTGGCGAGACCTTGTCTCCACAATAAATCAAAAAATTAGCCAGGCATGGTAGCACGCACTTGTGGTTCTAGCTACTTGGAAGACTGAGGAGGAAGGATCACCTGATTCTAGCAGGTCGATGCTGTGTGGCTATGATCATGGCACTGCACTATAACCTGGCGACAGAGTGAGACTCTGACTCAAAAAATATATATATATATAAATAAAAACATGCTAAGGGCCTGGGTCTCAGTCAGGCCTGCGGTGACTCAGCATGCTTGTGACAGCAGAGCTTTATTGCTCACAGTCCTGGAGGCTGGAGGCCCAGGAGGAGGGTACATCAGTCATGTGGGAGGGCCTCCTTTTGGCTTACCTCACCTGGTAGAGATGGGAAAAAAGCTCTCTCTCACATGGGCACTGATCCCCTCTGGTGGGCCTGCCCTCAGGACCTGGGTGGGTGTGCATGATACCATCCCATTAGGATTAGGGCTCCTCAGGCCAGAAACGGTGAAGATGTGTAGATTCCCACATCAGTGCCTATATAATGGGAGAGGTGTCTGGTTTTGTGGCTGTCTTCTATCTTTTAAAACAGTTTTAGGATCAGCATTCTGATTTGCTCATTGTAGAAACAATTAGAAAAATAGCTAAGCAGAAAGAGAATAAAGATTACCAGTAATCTCTTCACACAGAGAGCATGAACTGGTAACACGTTCTAAAAACTGTGACCACATTACCCTGAGAGGGCCATGTGAACAACTGAAAATATGTCCTGTAAAACATTTCCTGCACATTTTGATCCATCTCCACAGCCAAACTCCCCCCTCCTTCTCTCTCTCTCTGTCTCCCTTCTTCCCTCCCTCCTACCTTCTCTTTCTGTCTCTTTCCCTCCTCCCATCTTCTCTCTCTCCCCTTCCCTCCCTCCTACCTTCTCTAGCTCTCTTCTTCCCGCCTCCCCTTGTCTCTCTTTCTTTATTGTTTGTAGTTTTTTATTCCCATAAAATTCAAATGTACACAGAAGTGGTGAGTGTGGCATGGTTAGCTTCCCATGGGCACTGCTCGGGACCCGTGATGTCAACGCTTCTGCCTGCCTTGGTCATCTCTCCTTCCACATCCCTCCCCATCATCAAACTGATCTATTGTTATGCAAATCCCGGGTGACATATCATTTCATTTGTAATGTCATTTCTATGTTATATATCTCTAAAAGGGTACAAAGACTTTTTTTTTTTTCGGCGTAAGACCATTATCACACCTGAAAGTCATTCCTTTGAATTATTATTCACTCAGTTCTTGTTTTGTTTCTCTGGTGATGTCGTATTTTTAGCGGTAGGTTAATTCCCATCAGAACCTGCACGTGTCCTGTATGTGGCACTTGACCTACATGTACCTCCATCTGAAGCCTGCCCTCTCCCGCTTCCCTTTTCCCCTTGTGGTTTACATATTGAAGAAGTCAGGTGTGTGTCCTGTGGAAGTTCCCGCATTTTGGATGGCTCCTGCAGTATCCATAATGTGTCCACCACCCTGCCCTTGGTTTTTCATTTCATCTCCCTATTTTACGTTTGTCTTTTATCTTGCCTTCTTTGGATCCATTCATTTCTATTTTGGTGTCTATGACATTGCTAGTTCCAGATTCTTCCTAGAGATGAGCCTCGTATCCCGACCTCATTCATCTCTGATACACTGGATCTCCCTCCTCCTTGTGCTAGTTTTGTGATGCGCTCATGCGTTCTAACCGGTTTCGAGTGTTCTAATCCATTACCATTTCCCGATTCTTTTTGTTACTCACTTTATTTCCAGAATAACTTTCAGTACTTTTAAGCACCAACACTGGGACCGTATTGTCAGTTATAACTGCAGACTTGTGGGCTTGGTTTTCCAGTGAGGGTATGCTCCTTGGCCCCATCGCCTACCTTCTGCATCTGACCCCTGCCCTCTGGCCTCCGGCCAGCCCCTGTCTGCCATGTTTCTTAATAACTCTACCTGCTTCTCTTGGTCCTGTTGCTGCTGCCCTGACTCAGGCCGTCATCTCTGGCCAGCCTTGATGAATCTGTAACTTCCTACAGCTTTCCTACTTTTTCTCCTGTCTTCTGTGTTCCTCTCCCTCCTCAAGTGTGGTAGTGGCCTCCAGTTTCATTTAAAATCCCACTGCCCACAGGTTCTTACATGACCGGCTCTGTCCACCCCTGCAGAGCCATCCCTTGCTATTCTCCATCTTACTCTGCTTGAGTGTAGCTTCTCAAGCCTCTTTCTTGCCCTGGGTCCTTTGCATGTGCCATTTTCTGTACAGGGTGTGCATCACCTGCCCCCTCATGTTGACCAATTCCTCTTCGGATTTCAGCCTTCACTGAAGCCTGAAGCCTTAATGAAGTCTCCATGTATTCTCAACACTACACTTTTCTGTGATGCCCTTAGTTGTATTTGTATATTTGTGTATATTTTTTATTCAGACTCTGTCTTCCTCACTAAACTGATGAGGACAGGAGAGTGTCTGTTTTGCTTCTCTCTTGGGAGCCCAAACAGTATGTGGCATGTAGGAATTGCTCTCTAGGTAGCTGAGTAAATGAATAAATGAAAATGCTTCTCATATTTCCTGAAGAAAACTATATGTTATGGGAAAATATTTTGACATTTTTCATGAGCTAGAATTGAGAACTAATCCGTAGGAAAACTTGGTCTATACTGGTAGTCCTGAAATTATTTTTTTGTAAGGGAATATATCATTTTAATAAAAAGTATGTGTGTGTGTTTGTATGTTTGTATATATGTGGATGTGTATATATATATACAGGCTATACTTTTTTTTTGAATCGGGGTCTCACTCTGTTGCCCAGACTGGAGTGTAGTAGCATGCTCATGGCCTATTTCAACCTTGACCTCCTGGGTTCAGGCAATCTTTCTACCTCAGCCTCCTGAATAGCTGGGACTACAAGTGCATGCCACCACACCTGGCTAACTTTTTGCTTTTTTTGTAGAGAAGAGATCTTGCTATGTTACCCAGACTGGGACGTTTTAAAGAATAGTTAAGATACCCATATTTTCAACACCTAGATAAGAAGTGGAACGTTCTCAATGACCCTGAAACCCTCCGTGTGTTTCTCTGCAGCGTGATCCTCTCAGTCTCATCCTTTGCCCCAGAGGGAACCGCTCACTTCAGTTTCATGTGTTGATACTTGTTTTTCTTTATAGTTTGACACACACATGCATGTGTAATTTTAGATGTTTTCTTAGTTTTGCATGCTATGGCCCTTGCATACTTGAAATTGTGCACAAGTGTTCTTCCAAAACTGCTGTTGTCCTGAATGCCATGCTTTTGAGATTCACATCTCTTTGGTGTGGTTCATTCATTCAGATCACTCTGCAGTATGTGTGCCATGGCAGGAATAGACAACAGCTGGCCTTGTCCCATGATCTGTCCTGTTTGTGGGTCTGTAGATAAGCCTTCTTGGGCAGGGCTTCTGGGCCACACAGTAGGTG